TTGGATCGCTCTACTCAATATCTCAGTGGGAATAAACTTTTTATTTGTCGAGATCAAACTCCACTGCAACAAAGAGTTTCTCCCCCATTAACATACGTAAAGCCACCCCCGAATTCTACTCATATGCCTTTTACCTCTAAAGCAGTTTCTCCATCTGGTGTCGACCAAATCTCCCCACTACCTACAGCGGCCCCAGTTCCATCTAGCTCTATGACTGGTCACATTTTCCGAGAGACAGCTAAAACTAGCCTCTTTAAAACTCCCCCACAAAGCAGGGATTGTTCAAATGCGGCTCCCAAATTTACAACGGAGCTTGATCTTAACAGTAAAGATGAGCCAGTCCTGGATGCACAACCGACTCCCAGCATTCAGAATAGTGATTTAGTTAATAAACTTACATCGAATCCACCCCGTTCCCACGCCCGGCCACTAAGGTCTCACCTCGTGGTTAGGTCCAATATGCTAGATGATAGTTCAGGGCGATCTTATAGCGGCCTACCCTAACCCACTAGCCCCTACTTTCCTTCTAGGCTCCCTCCTTCTCCCCTTTCTCCACAATTTAACTACCAACAAGTCTATCCATGTTCTAACCCTCCTTGCATTCCAATGTTTGAAAACTATATCCCCACATCCTTTAGGTCGCATACTCAGCATTCTCTTGTTGATTCCCCGTACGTCAATAACTCTGGACTAACTGATACTTATTCTCCAAGTGTCATTAATTCACAGCTTACATATCAACCTCCAAATTTTTTTTAAAATACCGTCAAAGATAGCATTGCCGTCCGAAACACATTAGATATTATATTATTGAATGCCAGGTCAGTTATAAACAAGATGGCCCAAATCAGAGCCATTGCTCTGGAAATGACGCCTGATATTATATGTGTAACAGAATCTTGGACCATTCCTTAATTCCTGACTCTGCCCTTCTCATTGATGACTTCGATTTTTACCGCCAAGACCGCACGACTAGGCGTGGGGGTGGTTGTCTTCTTTATCTTAAATCCTACCTAAAGCACTCTCCCTATTACTTGGATGTTTTCTCATTCACGGGAAACTTCTGTTTTGCATCTGTTATTATCTCACCGCTAAGAAAGGCAATTATTGACTGTATCTACAATCCTCCAAATTCATTAGCCAGTGGTGATTTACAACTCTGTGAAATCTTTAAATTAATTTCGGAAGCTGCTTTCGATGATAAAATAATCACTGGGGATTTTAACCTTCCCGAAATAGACTGGGTTTCCAATAGCTGTCCACCCAGATTCCAGCCCTTTCAAGATATTGTCAATTTTTCTAATTGGTCCCAACTGGTGCGCTCTCCAACAAGAGATAATCACATTTTAGATCTAATCTTTACCAATGACATTGCTCCTCTTTCTGTTGCTTTAAAAAAGGACCTCTTTGACAGTGACCACGTATTAATTCATTGTTGCTTACCGTTTGCCTTTTCAAAAAAGACCAGCGTCCTTCGGACTTACTCGAACTACGACTGCGTAGATGACGACTTAATAAATAACTACATTAGATCTTGGGATTGGTGTGGCTTCCTCACTTATAGCGATGCAACCATTCTTCGTGATGTCATGTCCAATGTTTCCAAGGACAGCCTAGAGTATGTGCCGCGTAGATAACTGAATCCGAATTCTTCAGATTCCCTTGTTCCTCATTTTCTTTACAACAGACTAAAAATGTTGAGGCGACAGCTGTGTGACCCATCCACTAGTTCCTTATCAGTTCATCTTAGAATCACAGAGATTTTTGAGATGGCTTCAAGGATGCGCCAAGCGCGAGACAGGCAAAGAGAATCAATTGCTCTCAGTGGTTCGAACCCTGGCAAATCCGTCGCTAACATCTTCCGTAATCGGTCCTCCTCTAAGCGTGGTCACGAACTTCCATCCCTGCTAAATGATAACAAAGTCTTCCTCACCGATGATACTGACAAGGCGGAGTTGTTTAGTGCTTTCCTTGCAAAACACCTTGCTACGGAGACCGATCCGGTCCCTTTCTTTCGATTACATTCAAATAGAACACTTAGCAAAATTGATGTCTTCTCAGGTCTTATTAAGAAAAACATAAGCCGTTTGAAATACTCAAACTGCTCAGGAACGGACGGGATTCCGAATTCGATTAATAAGCAAGCATTCGACCTTCCAATATTGCCTAGTCATTTATTCTCTGCTTATATTTCAAAAGGATTCTTTCCTGAAACATGGAAAACGCCCATTATCATTCCCGTCATTCTAATTTTCTGTCTAATTTAAGGGCAGAAGCAAGTCAGGACCTTGCAAGTCAGAATCTCGGTCCGATTGTAATAACTATCGGGGCGTGCAAAAAACGCCGTCTCTAGCAAAGCCTCTTGAAAAGATTATTTTTAATGAAATTCTTGACTTCTCTCTAGCTAATCGGCTTCTGAGATCTAGTCAGCATGGATTTTTACATGAACGATCCTGCGATACATCTCTTTTGGCTTTTCTTAATCTAATCACTTCTCTTCGTAATGAGCGGCAGTCAGTGGTAGTTATTTACTTTGATCTTAGCAAAGCCTTTGACAAGGTGCACCATAGACGACTTTTAGTAAAATTGGAAGCTCCCGGCATCCGGCCGCCTCTACTCGACTTCATCAGGTCCTATCTGTCCAACCGATATCAGAAAGTCATGGTCGGTAATAGCTACTCTACACCTCACTCGATCACGAGTGGCGTACTTCAAGGCACGGTTCTGGATCCGCTACTCTTCCTTCTGTACATCAATGATATTTCGACTGAACTCGGAAATTCGCAAACTTTTACTTATGCCGATGACCTCAAGTGTGTTTACTCATAGTCTAAGGAGACCGCAAACGTTTGTGTCGAAAAAATTAATGCCAATTTACTACGCTTAAGCAGATGGGGTTCAACACGGTAGATGGAGTTTTCATCATCCAAATGCGGTTCCATGTCTTTTGGTGCTGCCAACTTCCTCGCTCCATAATTTTTCAGGATAACCCATTCTCAGAATGCTTTCCATAAAGGACCTAGGTAAAAGTTATACAAATGAATTTGCTTTATCACCTCATGGAGATAGAATCTCTGCCAAAGCCGCGCAGATATGTGGATTCATATCGCATAATTTTTTCCTCCCGGAATTGAGGCTAAGACCTTATCAAACACTTGTTCTCCCAGTCCTCGAATACTGCTGTTCTTTCTTTGGTTAACTGAGCGCCTGTGACCGTAATTAGAACGAAAGTGTTCCGAGGGTTTTCATCCGGAAACTGTTCACTCAAGTCGCACCCAGTACTTCTTATACTCAGAGATGTCAGCTGGCGAACATTAAGTTTTTGTGGGTTAGAGGACTCGAAGCTGGCCTTTGCTTCCTTTTCGCATCAACTCTAGCTCCAAACTTCCGCTCATTGACACTCTCACTCCGAGATATCGGTCTTTTGCCATGCGCAACTCCTACATGCTGATTCCGCTGCCTCTTTGTACTACATCTGGCGCTCCCTCTTCTTTGCTTCCATATATGCCTTTCTTTGGAATAATCTTCCGCCTGAAATTATATTATCGCCTAAGTTACTGGTATTCAGGTTGAAATTACGCAAACATCTTACACCGGAAAGCATTAACGCTCTGTTAACGGTCTCATTCCCGAACACTCATATTCTTGACTTCGAGAGGGGTCCTCCTGGGAGTTAGTGGAAGATTAAGTGGTAAGTCTTAATTATATCATTAGATACCCATGTTTTAAATTGGTTTCTAAATACCCTGCTATCACTCTTTCCCCATAGCGTCAATTTTCGCGGTTTTTGATGTCATCTCCCGCACTCCGACTTCATGCGGTCTGTCGACGCTCACGGCGGAATCCCTCAGTATTCGCCGTGTACTAGTAGTTTGGTCGTACCTCCCTTCCCCACTGCTCGACCGAGCTCGAAGCGTGCTGTGGCCGATCGCATCTGGGTTCCTCTCGTCTGGCCTCTTTGACGCGAAAAGTCTCATGCGGCGTATCAATCCTGCCCGGACGATCACAATTGTGAAGCCCGTCTTCAATACCACATGCAAGCCAGTCCTGTCTGACCCGCATACCTACCCCTCAAGGCTGACATTTATTGCTACCCTGACGATGACCGACAACAATCCGTTATATACCGTCGCCTACAGGTCAGTCCTGCTCGCTTTCTCCTATCATTATTTTTATTGAGGGCTTTTTTTTCTCCTGTAAAATTTATCCAATCATTTTCAACTTTTTGTATGGAGTTTTTTTCTACCCCTCACAAATCATGTTTCTCAATGGACTAGTAATTCAGAAACTGTGAAATGCATTTTGTAAAGATTCTGCCTACCTCGTTTAAAACTCGCATGTAAATTTATTGTAACTTGCTTTGATGGGACCCCGACGGGTCTTTGATAAAAATTATCTATCTATCTCTCTTAATATCATTATTTCATCAGAGGTTGCGAAATGGAGATCGTAAAAGGGGTAAAGGGCTGTGGCGGTCAAGGATGTGAGATCGACTTAAACCTTGCACAATAAGTTCGTTTCGTCTACTGTCAGAAGTCAGGGAGCTGTGAGGACTAGTTTATTCTGTACACAGGGCAGGTTGCCGTAAGTTGGCGATTTGCTTGCAACAGAGAAAAGCGTCCGTTCACGGAGAGCGTCAGTCACGGTGTGTCTTGTTTACGCGGGTGTGAGTGTCTAGTTAGCAGGAGAGGGTGACTGTCTGCGTGGTGATCGTGTGATTGGACAAATTAGGGGAGGAATAGGGGCGCATGCACACAATGCCTCACGGGTATCAAGCCAGAGCGTTAGACGCGCGTGAGGTGATGAAAGTTTGTGAGGTCAGCCGACAGTCACTGAAGTTGGACCGGAGGTGTCTGAGTGTTAGCCGGGGCGGGGGGGGGGGTGGCTGTGTGTCAACAGCTGTCGCAGCCATGTTCGACAAAACGCAGCCGGAGAAAAAGGGAACTGGTGCGGCTGTTACAACTCCCCCAGACACCAAACGAAGTGAAGGCGTCGACATGCTAGCCAGCCACAAACCGGTCGGGCCTGTGGACGTGGCGACCAGATCGTGTGCGGCGAACCGGAGGCGGTCTCTCGCCAGTAGGTGGAGGAGGCCGCGCTGTCTGAGGCGGGGTACAGTGCTGAGGTGAGGAATGGTCACTGTCGTCGATGTAGGCCGGCTTGACGCGATCAATGCTGACTGTGTCGGTCTTGCCGTTGCGATCAATTACAACATCTTTGTCAGATCGACGAAGGACTCTATACGGCCCGTCATAGGGTGGTTGGAGTGGCCGCCGGACAGCGTCATGCCGAACCCAGACATAATTGCACGTATCCAGGTCGGGTGGGATGAAGGAAGTGTCCGATGACGCCCGAGGGGGCGTTGCGCGGAGATTGCGCATGACACTACGCAGCTGCGTCACATAACTGCAAGGTTCGAAAAACGTTAGCCTGTTTGAGGGAGACACTACCTCACCAGGCAGTCGTAGGGAGGTTCCGCAGACAAGATCAGCTGCAGTGCAACCGATGTCGGCCTTGGGAGTGGAACGGAGGGGCAACAGCACCAGAGGAAGGTGATCAGACCATCCGGAAGGATCGGGCTGGGCCATAAGGGAAGTCTTGAGCTGCCGATGGAAGCGTTCGACGAGACCATTTGTTTGAGGGTGATACGCTGTTGTTCGGATTCGGTTGGTACCGAGAAGGCATGTAAGTTCGCGAAACAGCGTGGACTCGAATTGGGATCCGCGGTCAGTGGTGACAGTCGCAGGAACTCCAAAATTGGACACCCAATGAGTCAAGAAAGCTCTTGCAACGGTTTCGGCACTGATGTCCGGAATGGGCGCAGCAACTGGCCACCGAGTAAAGCGATCAATGCATGTCAGCATATAGGTAGAACCGTTAGATGGTGGCAGCGGACCTACGAGGTCAATGTGCACATGACTGAAGCGTGCATCAGGGGTGGCGAAAGTTCCTGGCGGTGTAGTAGTATGCCGATGCGTTTTGGCTCGCTGACATGACAGACAGGATCGGGTCCAACGCCGTACATCCCGGTTGATGTTGGGCCAGACGGATCGGTCAGTGATGAGTTTTTCTGTCGCCCGGACTTCAGGGTGGGATAGATTGTGAAGGGCGTTGAACACTTGTCGTCGTATAGTTGCAGGGACAAAGGGACGTTCATGTCCGGTAGAAATATCACACGTTATGGTGCCAGTGCGAGTGGGAAGGGGGACACCTTGAAGGCGTGAAGAAGAGTCCTCGTGGCGGTATTGGGAGAGCTCGGGATCCGATCGCTGAGCCTCAGCCATGAGTGTGAAGTCTATGGCGTCTGTTGTGATGGAAGCCATTTCGATTCCTTAAAGATCATCAGCAACCACAATTTCCTTACCGTGGACAGGTTGGATGTCGCAGGAAAACTGTGAGATGAAGTCAAGATGACGGATTTCACGGGGTGAGTATCGATCGGGAGAGGCCCTCAGTGCAAAAACGAGTGGCTTGTGATCTGTTAGAACAACAAATTCACGACCCTCGAGGAAATGGCGAAAGTGCTGAATGGATAGGTAGACGGCGAGCAGTTCTCGGCCGAAGACACTGTAGCGGGTCTCTGCTGTGCTGAGTGTCTTCGAGAAGAAAGCCAGAGGTTGTAGGACACCACCAACAGGTTGCCGCAGTGATGCACCAACGGCAGTGCTGGAAGCATTTGTCATGAGAGTTAGTTGGGCATCAGTGCGGGGGTAGGCTAGTAGTGTTGCGCTCGCAAGTGCGGCCTTGACGTCATTGAAGGACCTGACGGCCTCCTCGGTCATCACCAGTGTCTTCTTGGAGTGGGTCAACAGGCTGTTGGGAGGCTGCAGTATGGTGGCACTATGGGGAAGAAACCGGTGATAGTAGTTCACCATCCCCAAGAATCGGCGTAGTTGGTTGATGGTTGTCGGGACGGGGAACGCTGATATGGCCGAAACTTTTTCCGGGACGGGCTTTATCCCATCTGAGTTCACTTCGTGACCAAGGAAGATAAGACTGGGGACTCCGAACTCACATTTGGCGGCATTGATGATAACGCCGTAGGAGTCGAGCCGTTCGAAGAGCTGTCGAAGGTGAATCTCGTGTTCAGCAGCGTCAGAACTAGCCACTAGCAAATCATCAATGTAGGCGTAGACGAAGTCGAGACCTCGCAGAACCTGATCAATGAATCGCTGAAAGGTTTGAGTGGCGTTCCTCAGACCAAAGGGCAAACGAGTGAATTCGAATAACCCAAAGGGAGTGGTCACTGCAGTTTTCGGAACATCACTGGCCTCGATCGGGATTTGATGGTAGGCACGCACAAGGTCGATCTTAGAGAATATTCGCTTACCATGTAGCGAAAGAGTGAAGTCTTGGATGTGCGGAACGGGATACTGGTCGGAGACAGTCACAGAGTTCAACGCCCGATAGTCACCACGCGGTCGCCAGTCGCCCCTCTTCTTTGGGACAAGGTGGAGGGGTGATGCCCAGCAGCTGTCGGACTGTCGGATGATGCCGAGCTCGAGCATGTGTTCGAACTCTGCCTTGGCAATCTTCAAACGGTCCGGAGCAAGACGACGTGGTCGGCAAGATTTGGGAGGTCCGGTGGTGGAAATATGGTGGGTGACCGTGTGCCTGATGTCCACTTCTCGAAATGAGGGGTTGGTCAGGCGGGGAAACTGCCTGAGGAGTGAGCGGAAAGGACAGTCAGAAATGGGCATAACAGTGAGAGGGCTGACGCAGGGATACACACCGGATTGACAACGGGTATGAAGGTTGGTGATGCAGTCGACGAGTCGGCGATTCCTCAAATCAACTAGTAGATTGAAGTGAGCTAGGAAATCGGCGCCTATGAGGGCGACGGAAACGTCGGCAATAATGAAAACCCATCGGAAAATTCGACGAAGGCCCAAATCAAGTGTGATGGAGCGCTGTCCAAAGGTGTGGATGCTGGAGTTGTTGGCAGCTGTTAGACAAAAAGAGCTGCGGTGTTTGCGTTCGGCCGGAGTTGGTGGAACCACGCTAACCTCTGCACCAGAGTCGGCAAGGAATTTGGCGCCAGCGATACGGTTCCAGAGAAACAAACGGCGAGTGTGAACATTGGCAACGCTTACAGCAGCAGTGGCCTCTGGTGGCGGGTGGGGTCGTCTCCCTGAAGACGTTAGAGATGCCTTGAAAGAGTATGGCTGAAGACATCGTCGAGCTGCTTCTCCAAATTGTTGGCGACACCAGCAGACGCTACTTGGAGATTGTGGACGGCGGGTGTGGGAAACGGAGCAAGTACGGCGACGGTTTGGTGTTCGCCGCGGGACGTTAGTGGTTACTGCAGTAAGCTGGGCTTTCAGGCGCATTAATACCTTCTCGAGCCGATCCAAGCAAACGCTAGCTCCTTGAGAATTTGAGTTGATGTGTGACTTCTGGTCTTGGGACATCGCGCTGTAGGTCGCCGAAAGATTGTTGTTGTGGACGAAAAGTTTGCGGAATTCCAGTGTTCCGAAATTCGGGGTCACCAATTTGTTGCGGTCAAGGATGTGAGATCGACTTAAACCTTGCACAATAAGTTCGTTTCGTCTACTGTCAGAAGTCAGGGAGCTGTGAGGACTAGTTTATTCTGTACACAGGGCAGGTTGCCGTAAGTTGGCGATTTGCTTGCAACAGAGAAAAGCGTCCGTTCACGGAGAGCGTCAGTCACGGTGTGTCTTGTTTACGCGGGTGTGAGTGTCTAGTTAGCAGGAGAGGGTGACTGTCTGCGTGGTGATCGTGTGATTGGACAAATTAGGGGAGGAATAGGGGCGCATGCACACAATGCCTCACGGGTATCAAGCCAGAGCGTTAGACGCGCGTGAGGTGATGAAAGTTTGTGAGGTCAGCCGACAGTCACTGAAGTTGGACCGGAGGTGTCTGAGTGTTAGCCGGGGCGGGGGGGGGGGGTGGCTGTGTGTCAACAGCTGTCGCAGCCATGTTCGACAAAACGCAGCCGGAGAAAAAGGGAACTGGTGCGGCTGTTACAGGGCCTAGGTGTGTGGATGAAGTTCACTCTCAAACCATCGTCTGACTTTGCCAAAATAACAAAGAGAGATATGGGCATCCTTAGACCCCTTTTAAAATAGACGAAAAGCTTTGCGATGGACTGCTTGGAACATTTATCCGGTTAATTTTGGAATATGGCATCCACGCATGGCGCTCTTTGATGAAGAAAGATGCCAATGTCTTGGAGAAGGTGCAATAATGGGTGATCAGACATGTCAGGAGGCTGGAGGGCCTACCTTTTAAGGAGCGACCAAAAGGCTCGGACTTCTTCCTCTCTCTAATAGGCAATACCGAGGGGACACGATCACGGTCTTCAAACTCGTCAAGGAGTAGACCGATTACCGAACTAGGACGATTTTTGAACTAGCGCAAAAGACAAATCACGGAGATCACTAATATAAATTGAAGACAAACTACGCCAAACTTGGTGTACGAGTCAAGTTTTTCTCACCGAAATATCCAATCTCAACTTTTTTCCACTGAGTCACAGACGGCTATGAGGCGACCTGATACAAACATTCCGTATAACGTGCGGCCAGGAGTGCTCTGTCTGCAGACGTCGTCTTGTCCGCATCCGACGAGCTGGACCAGTATACCATTAAACGTCACAATGTCCCCTGGCTGACATCGTCTTCGCGTATCATTCTAACAGTTTTTCAATGCTATGATATTACTGTCTTCATTTCAGCAAAGTTTGTTTTTTATTATTACCCCAAGTCCTTTGAAAGTGAGTTTGGGCATTTAATTCGTCACTTTCAGTAATTGAGATCGCAACAATTATGCATAGGCTGACTACTGTACAGCACGTTTAGTAATGTCAATTTTTCCAACAACTGGAACGATCAGTTTGTCTGGCTCCTTTCAAAAAAAAACGTCTGTAGCTGTTTAGTGTTTCATCTTCAAGTTTTTGATACAGATCGCTTCGTTGTAACAAACAGGGGATTCAATTGTTCAACAATCAATGTTTTGCTCAAGAAAAATGAAATAAACTGAATCAGGTTATAGCAGACTAGAACTATCTACCTAATTCGGTTGTTCTGACGGAAAGTGTTCAGGCATTTAAAAGACGACTCGACAACATTTTATATGATTGCCACATGTTTACTTGAGAAGAACTGATCAAATATATCCTATATGTGCCTACACATATGCAGTCTTTTTAAGTCTATGTTTGTGAATCGGCTCTGCCTATCCATCTTATATATACTGAATTACGATTATTATGACCCCCTGTCAGATCATCTGTCTCATCACGAAGAACAACAGTCATCGAATGTAATTTAATGTAGTAGGACGAAAACCGTCGATCTTCATTTAATTTTGATTCTCTTCTTAGTACCACGATTTTCAGATCCTCCAGTAATAGATGACATGTCACAGATTGTGCGTGAAACTGTCGATATTCGTTTAGCGCGACGAGGGTTGTTGTAAGATGTTGACCAATTATTAGCAAATCGGACCTTGTACGCGGATAAAAACGGACCAGTTTTTTGACGTTTGTTTTGGAAAAAAACAAATTAATTCATTTCCCACCTCCATAAGCGTTGTGCCTACTCTCAGTTTCTCTCAATGGGCATTGAACCCGAAAACTTTCCAATAAGCAGAATCCAGTCCGGCCACGTATTTGACCCCCCAGCCATTGTCTATGTTTTCCGTACTTTGGGGACAGTCAGCGGTGCTAAATTTTGATGAAATTCCTTAAAATAACTGACTGATTAGAATGCATATTTGGCATTAAATGGTTTATTTGCCTTTGCGTGTCTCCACACTTCATAAGGTTTACTTTAAAAATACCGAATGAACGAGTAATGACACATCGATGGCATCAAATAAAAGAACACCATAGCCTTTCTGACCAGACTCAAAAGGCGTTTAAACGACTATGCCATTTGGTGAGTCCGTCGCGAAGTGCCGTTCACCAACATGGCTAGAGAACCTTGGCAATTGCCTCTGGGGACTCCCACTTTTTATGTGAGATGTGTATGGCGAGGTGTTCGCGTATCATGGAAACAGACGATTACTGGTTACTATACAGTCTATGCATCACTCAATTAATATGCTCTCTGTCTTTGATGCGACAGTTCATTTTCCGTTTCGAGTGACTGGTAAATTTAAGAAGTAGGATTGCTTCAGTATAGACGAGTCCACTATTATATTCCCAGACTTAATGAGCGTTTCGTTATACAGGCCACAAGTGGTCATAAATTATCTGTGTTTCATGATTTTATCTCGCAAAAATATCCAAAACTGGATGGCTGCTTAACCGTTTAAGTTGAGGCCTTAACCGTCTGTATTAATTAAACGAATGCCAGTT